GTGTGGCGGATGATTGGTTACTCACTAAGTTAAAGCACTGAAGCTAGTAAATTATTTTCTTCATTGCAAATTAGGGGAAACACAAGATTACAGCTATAATAAATTCACTCTCACATGCCTTAGCAAAAATAAAAATAGAAAACATGGTAGCTATAAAGTGAAAAAAACTGGAACAATACAGGAATTTCTGGGAATACCAAGATGGTGCAGTAGGTAAATGTTGCACTTTCCTTCTCTCATGACCACATCAAAATTACAACTAAACTATGAAACAAAACCATCATTGAGAATTGCCTACAATCTTGCTGAACCGAAACCCTACAACTAAGGATGTGCAGAAGAAGCCACCTCAAGGCTGCAAGGAGGGGCAGAGATGCAGAATGGGCTGGTCCCACACCCAAGTGTGACCATTAATGACTGGGAGGGATATTTCAGCTGTGGGGGTTCCCCCACCCCCAGAGGAAGATGAGGTTCAAGCCCCACCCTAACCCAGGGTTCCAGTGCTGGGGAGAGAAGCTCCCATAATTTCTGGCTGTGAAAACCAGCGGAGATTGTGACTGAGTGAGATGGAGGGCAGCTGCAGTGTTAGCTACTCCTCTTAAAAGGACTGTTTGCAGACTTACCCACCAATGGAAATCACTTGCTCTGAGCTCCAGCACTGGGGCAGCAGCTGGAGAGACAGCAGGGACATATGGTGGGGAACTGAGTTGTCTGGCTTCTAACAGGGGGTGGAGAGGCGGCGGCTTTCTCCTGGATGGAGGGGCTTGCAGAGGCCATTGTTTCTTTCTTTTTTAAAAAAAAAAAGATTTTATTGGGGAATTGGGAAAGGGGAACAGACAAGTTGCTATGCTTTTTGTTCTTCAGTCTAGTTGTGGAGGACGTCGCTTCACTGTCCCATGTTGGCATTATCATTGTGCTCTTCCCAGGTGAGGCAGATTGGTCGCCGGCCACTGGACAGCCGCTCACAGTGGCTCTTGGCAGCTCACAACGGCTGCCGGCCACTCACGGTAGCTTATGGGAGCCCACTGCAGCTCCACTGCAGCCTATGCCATCGCTGGTGACTCGTGGCAGCCCAGCTCCAGGTCGAGCTGTTGTTCACCATCTTGGCTGTAGAGGGCGCAGCATCCCTGGCCCTAATGTGGGATCTGAACCAGGGCGCTGCTGCTCAGAGCTGTCGTCCCAAGCCAACTCTTAACCAACACGCCACTCGGCTGGCCCAGCCATTGTTTCTTCCTTTCTTTTCTTTATTTTTTATTATGAAATACACATTTTTAAAAATTAGTTTCAGCTGTACAACACAGTGCAATAGTTATACTTTTTACCCCTTGAAGTGACAACCCCCCTCCCCCAATCCGCCGCCCCAGGCCATTGCTTCTTTGTTGAGCCCTCCTTCTTCCTGGCTTGCCAACACAGGTGGCAGCCATTTCTGAGTGTCTGCAGTTCGTTTGCCCCGCCCTGGCAATGAGAGACCCTGCCCCACCCAAATTTCGGGCACACCCAAGCCACTTCTAGTGGCTTTTCTGTACAAACTGCCTGCTTTAGCTCATGCTGCATACTTTCTTAGGGTCTCGCAAAGGTTCACAGAACCCAGGCAAGCAGCACCTGGCTTGAGCGTATCCTGTACCTCTCTCTGGCTGAGCAGCCCTAACCTTGGCACTAGCGGCAGCCAGTTTTGGTCTGCAGCTGACCTCTCAAGGTGCTTCCAAGCACAGCATGGGCAGCAACCATCTGCAGATTTCTTTGTGGCTCCTGCTGGGTGGTCCTGGGTGGGATATGGGCTGTGGCTGAACTTGGCCTACAGATGTCCCCTCCAAGGTGGTCCTGGTCCTGGTGCCCTCAGTGGCCAGCTTCAAAATGAGATGGAGCATTACTCAGCCACCTCCAAGAATGAAACACCCAAGGGGCAGACTGGGCAGGCATCAGGGTCCTGCTGAGGCATATCCTGCTCTGTAGGGTCAGCCCATGCACAACAACTCCTCCACTGTAGTCAAGGCCAGTCCTCACAACCAGTGAGCCTAAGTGACAGTCCCTCCCATTGATGTGCAATTATCAACCAAGGCTCAACTACAAGAGGAAGGCACACACAACCCACACAAAGGACACACCTGGAGTGTGGTTCAGGTGACCAGAAAGACTGCGCCACTGAACCCCACAGCACACCTACTACATAAGGCTACTCTACTAAGACCGGAAGACATAGCAGCCCTACCTAATACAAAGAAACAAATACAGGGAGGCAGCCAAAATGGGGAGCAAAGAAACATGTCCCAAATAGAAGAACAGAACAAAGCTCCAGAAAAAGAACTAAACAAAATGGAGACAAGCAATCTACCAGATACAGAGTTCCAAACACTGGTTATAAGGATGCTCAATGATCTCAGGGAGAACTTCAACAAAGAGATAGGAAACATAAAAATAGAGATAGAAAACATAAAAAAGATCCAGTCAGAAATAAAGAATACAACAATGGAAATGAAGAATATATTACCGGGAATCAACAGATTAGATGAAGCAGAGGACTGAACCAGTGATATAGAAGATAAGGTAGCAGAAAACACCCAATCAGAACAGCAAGAAAAAAGAATCCAAAAAACTGAGGAGAGTTTAGAGGGCCTCTGAGCCAACATCAAGCGTACCAACATTCACATTATAGGGGTACCAGAAGGAGAAGAGAGAGAGAGCAAGGAATTCAAAACCCATTTGAAGAAATAGTGATGGAAAACTTCCCTAACCTGGCAAAGAATATAGATATACAAGCTCAGGAAATGCAGAGAGTCCCAAACAAGATGAATCCAAACAGGCCCACACCAAGACACATCATACTTAAAATGCCAAAGGTTAAAGACAAAGAGAGATCTTAAAAGCAGCAAGAGAAAAGCAGTTAGTTACAGACAAGGGAGCCCCCATAAGATTGTCAGCTGATTTCTCAACAGAAACTTTACAGGTCAGACGGGATTGGCAGGAAATATTCCAAGTGATGAAAAGTAAGGCCCTACAACCAAGATTACTCTACTCAGCAAAGCTATCATTTAGAATTGAAGGACACATAAAGAACTTCCCAGGCAAAAAAATCTAAACGAGTTCATCACCACCAAACCAGTATTACAAGGAATCTTAGAGGGACTTGTTTAAGATGGAAGGGGGGTTAAGGATGGGTGAAAGGGGAAGGGATTAAGAAGTACAAATTGGTTGTTACACCGTAGTCATGGGGCTGTAGGGTATAGCATAAGGAATATAGTCAATAATATTGTAATAACTACATATCGTGCCAGATAGGTACTAGATCTATCAGGGTGATAGATGGGAATGGGATTGGGCACAGGGTGAAAGAGATGAACATATTGAAAAATACAAATTGGTAGTTACAAAATAGTCATGGGGGGACCGGTCGAGTGGTGCATTGGTTAAGAGCTGGCTTGGGACGATAGAGGGCCCCGGTTCGGATCCCACATGAGGGCCAGTGACACTGCCCTCTAAAGTTAAGATGCTAAACAACAGCTCAACCTGGAGCTGGGCTGCCCTGAGTCGCCAGCGAGGGCAGGTGTGTTGCCATGGGCTACCGTGTGTAGCCAGCAGCCAGCGTGAGCGGCCAGCAGCCGCAGTGAGCAGCCGTCCAGAAGCCGGCGACTGATGTGACTCGCCCGGGAAGAGCGCAATGATGGTGCCAACTTGGGCCAGTGAAGCAACGTCCTCCACAACTAGACTGAAGAACAAAAGGACAGCAACTTGTCTGCTCCCCTTCCCCCAATTCCCCAATAAAAATCTTTAAAAAAAAAAAGAGTCATGGGGATGTAAGGTATAGGGAATATAATCAATAATATGGTAATAACTATGTATAGTGCCAGCTGGTACTAGTAAGGGGGATCACTTCCTAAACTATATAAATGTCTAACCACTATGCTGTACACTTGAAACTAATATAAAATAATATTGAGTGTCAACTCTAATTGGAAAACTTAAAAAGTGTGGAAAAGATTAATAATATTATGATAGAGTGGTACAGTGTCAGATGGTTGCTGGATTTATCATGGTGATCACTTCTTTAGCATAGGGAATAAAATCAATAATGTGGTAATAACACTGTATAGTACTAGGTGGGTACTGTTGAATAACTTTGATGCACACCTGAAACTATTATAATATTGTATGTTAGCTGTATTTTAATTTAAAAATCTTTTTTAAAAAAATACAGGAATTTCTAACTGATTAGCTTGCAGTTTTTGAGATGGCCAAGTATTACCATCAGTGAGATCACCTTAAAGAAACATTCTTTATGACTTGAAAAAGTTCTTATCCTTAAGTCAGTGATAGGTATTCAATATTATAGATTTAACTGAATTTAAAGTTATGTTAAACCTATTTTATTAAAGTAAATGAAGAATCCCTTTTAAGTTATCACTCTAAAACTATATATTAAGATAAGGGTATTACATTACTTCTAGTGTTTAATTTTATTACCACACTAATACACACACATTTTTTTTAATTTCTGGAGTTTTATTTAGTTATATGTCCTGATTTTTTAGTTATTAAACATGAGTGTATTCCAATAAAGGAAATAATTTTTTAGATACATTAAAATTATTCCCAATCTTATTCCCCGCACATAAACTGTTTTCACTTGTCTATCTTCATGACCCATCCTTGTCCACATAAATCCATATTCTCCATAGAAAGCATAGTATTGCTAACATTTTATAGTTTACTGTAATTTTATTTCTTAGTATTACATCATGAAACATTTTTCTATATTTCCACATAGTTATTGGGTCTTTCTTATGGCTGCAAAATATTCTATCAGAAACACCTGAGTTTAAATGGTTCAATCTTATTCCTCATAAATTTATTCCTCATTCTGTAATTGGTAGTCATAATCAAAGGTGACAACATAATTCTTTGTTACTCGTTACTTACATTTCAAATACACTCACTGGTAGAGCCAAAACTCCATTAGTTAATTAGTCAGGACGTGTTATTAGATCTCCATGATTATGTCTTCCTTTTTCTATTTCTAACGTGAGGACTAAGTGGACTACTATGTAACTTTGCTAAAAGCATCCCCTTATGTTTTTTTGTAAACAGAAAATACTTAGTTATTCAAGTTAGCAGCATCTCAGCACAACCATCTCTAGGCTGTGAGCGTGCCTTCCAAAACGACAGCAGCGCCTCCCTTAATGTCCACACGTCCGTCAGGACGCAGTGAAATCTCCAGCTCTCCTCCTCTGCAGGAACACTGAAAGGCTAAAGAAAACAAAATGAATCACAAATTAAGATCGTTTTCACCCTTTTTAATTAACAGAACATAGTGAGAGACCTCTCATTACAAGCTCTAAAATTCTTCCAGGTCAGTTTAAAGAATAAATTCCTTCTTCTGTCCATGGTACTGCCCAGCTCACCCCATCTCCTGAGGACTGAGGGGCCACAAATGCAATTTGATCCACAGAACACAAACCTCCACACCTACCCTTCCTGAGCCACTTCCTCTCTCACTTCTGAAATGCCCTAGATACACCCACAGATACACGCTTCCTCCCCAGCTCTGTGTAGCAGTAAGCAAGGATGTGTGAAAAGATAGCTGCAGGAGCTAGAAGTGTAAGAAGACAGAGGGGTGGCATTGGCCTTCCTGAGAAGGCCCGATCTTCTCAGATCTGAATAGGACAAAGGGAGTCCCATCCACTCATTGTAGTTATCAAGCAACCACATGGGTCAGGCAAACAAGAGGCACAGTGTCCACCTTCCAGGAGCTCGGGGCTGAAGGGGGTGGCTAGGCTCACTAAAGAAAACCCACAGCCACCCTGCTGCCCAAATCAGGGTCACAGGGGCCTAACCCTCCCGCTAAGTATGGATTCTGCCTTTTGGGTCAGACTCCTATTTTAATTTTTAGGGCTGTAGCCTCCATTGTCTGAGACCTGTTTTCTGTGCTGCTGAGTATCAGATTCAATCGTGTGACTAGCAATAGCAATAAGGGACCTTGGTCAGCATCCATTCTCAACTTGTCACATCATAAATTACCTCTCTGGGCCAAAGTTACACAGCTAGTTAATGTTATCCAACATTTATTGGGGCACTTACTGGAATAGAAGTATGTCTGTCGGGAAGGACAAAGATAGAAGATGTTTGGGATAGAGGATATTTTGAGTAAAGGGTTTAGGGTAAAGGGATTTAAAAAGCTTTCATTTTCATGTGGGTGATACATAACATTGTATTATATCTCAAATGGATAGTACATGTGAGAAAGAATACTAGCTTAAGGTTAGGCAAATTTTTAAAAAATTTTGAATAAGAGCTGCCCTACCATGCATGTCTTTCTTCCCCAGTTGCTGGGACCAGTAGCTGCTGAGAACAGTATGTGCAGATCCTTAAAAGAAACAAAAAGTTATGGTACAATCCCAAAGAAAACAGGGTGGCTTTGTGCTAAATTTATAAGCAATTACAATCAACCATCCAGCTTGACTAAACCTTAGGTGACTTAGTCATTATGTTAGCATAGCCACAGCAGAGTGTGGAATTATGAATGGAGATAGAAAGACACAGAACTTATGAATAAGCTCCTCCAAATGATGAGTTTGCTATGTCTTAACTTTCTGAAGGCTGAATTAAACTGCAGGTTTTAATTCTTGTCCTGGCTACCAGTTCATTGGAAGCCCATAGTAGGAAAATCAAGGCCTTTCACATAAGTCTTTCTACATCTTTTTTTTTTTTTTAAGATTTTTATTGGGGAATTGGGGGGATGGGAACAGTGCTGGGGAATTGGGGGAAGGGGAACAGACAAGTTGCTGTCGTTTTGTTCTTCAATCTAGTTGTGGAGGATGTTGCTTCACTGGCCCAAGTTGGCACCATCATTGCGCTCTTCCTGGGCGAGGCAGATCAGTCGCCGGCTTCTGGACGGCCACTCACTGCGGCTGCTGGCCGCTCACGCTGGCTGCTGGCTACATGGTAGCCCATGGCAACCCACTGCAGCAGGAGCTGCAGCCTACACCGTCGCTGGCAGCCCAGCTCCAGGTTGAGCTGTTGTTCAGCATCTTAGCTGTGGAGGGCAGTGTCACTGGCCCTCATATGTGGGACCCGAACCGGGGCCCTCTGGCATCCCAAGCGAGTTCTTAACCATCGCGCCACTCGGCCGGCCCAAGTCTTTCTACATCTTTGATGGGAAAATATCTGCTTCCTCCTGAGATGCACATGCAAGGAAAGGTGGGAACTCTGACAAAATGCCGAATTTTCCACCAACCACATGTTCCCAGAATTTTGGTGCTGGAAGGACTTTATTTCAGTGAGGTATTTTTTCACATGATTGTACCCTAGGTTTAGATCAGAGAATAGATATTAAAATGAAGAAACAAAACATAAAGTAATAACTGACAGAAAAGTCTTTGGAGGAGAAAAAGATGGATTAGAAAAGGCCTCCCCTTCAGAAAAACTTATGAATGTTGTGGGAGGTCCACACTAGGTGACCAACCATCCCAGTTTGCCTGAGTCTGTCCCGGTTTTAGCACTGAAGGTCCTGTATGCTGAGAAACCTCAGTCTCAAGCAAACTGAGATGGTTGGTCATCACTGTCCAAAGATCTTCCCATTCTAGAAAAGCATTATTATAGGGGGAAAAAAACTTGCCCACTGTGCCAATTAAATCCTTTGTAAAGCAGCTGTGCATGTGTAAATCTGCTCAGAACTTCTTTTCCATGGGGGAGGGTTTAGTTGGACTGTTTGGACATCGGGCACTTTTCTGAGTTTTAAAAGTGCTGGGCCAAGGCTGGCCAAGTGGCACGTTGGTTAAGAGTTGGCTTGGGACGCCAGCTCTGAGCAGCAAGCCCCAGTTCAGATCCCACATTGAGGGCCAGTGATGCTGCGCTCTCTATAGCTAAGATGGTGAACAACAGCTCGACCTGGAGCTGGGCTGCTGTGAGTTGCCGGCGATGGCACAGGCTGCAATGGGGCTGGTCGGCAGTGGGTGTGAGCTTTCGTAAGCTGCCGTGAGCCGCCGTGAGCGACTGTCCAGTGGCCGGCGAACGATCTGCCTCACCTGGGAAAAGCACAATGATGGTGCCAACTTGGGCCAGTGAAGCAACGTCCTCCACAACTAGACTGAAGAACAAAAGGACAGCAACTTGTCTGTTCCCCTTCCCCAATTCCCCAATAAAATCTTTTTAAAATTTTTAAAAATAAATAAAAGTGCTTGCTTGCTGAGCTTTGAATTTCACGTTTTGTCCATTAGAGGGTAAATAAGTCAAGCTCCTGAAACCACTGCGGCCCCTGCCATCTGACCACAATAGGAGCCTGAAAGTCTCTGTCCAGCCCCTTTCTGTCCTGGCCACCGTCCCATCCACTACCTCCTTCATCAAGCATTGCTCCCTTTTGCTGCTCAGCCCACTCTCCTCAAAGATGGTAGGAGGCTTCATGTTCTGCCCATCTTTGATTTCATCCCTCTGCTTCTGGCTGGTAGAAGGTCTTGAATACCCCTGTCCCCAAACCTATCCCACCCACTTTGGAGGCAGGGCTGGGAAAGGAGGAGGGGAGAAAAAGCAACACTATTCCTGTTTCCTGTTTCCCCCCTGCACCCCAGGAGTTTATCCTTTGAAACCAAATCTCATCTAGATATCATTGATCATGCTGGATGGTCACTGAAAAGGACAAAAGGTTTTGGGAATGCACTGGACACCAGCCCCTGAATTTTGCAAATGGCAGATCTGGAAGTGTTGGCTCAGAGAGCCAGTTTCACTGTTATTATTAACATAACTAATAGTGTTAGCTATATTTTAATAGAAATCTTTTTAAAACATAAATAAAATAGCTAATAGTTATTGGGCACTTATCGTGTGCCAGGCACTGTGCTAAGCACTTAACTTGCATTGGGTCTATATAACCCTATGCGCTATTATCTATATTTGATAGAGGAAGGAATGAAAACTTAAAAGTTAAGTCATATACCCAAGATTAACAGCTAGGTAGCTAGAATGCAGACCCAGGCACTAAGGTTTAACCCTGCTATCCTGCCTTTTTAATTCTGTGTTTTTCACATGAGACCTTAGTGAAGGAATGGGGAAGGGGGAGAGAGGGGAAAAAAAGGCAGCTCAAAACCCAAGCAATCTGAAAGGTCACATGAAGGACACTTGAACATTTGTTATCCTCCTCCTCTACTGTTTAACCCTCCCTAGGATCCAAGTCAAAAAGTACCTGTTACAGGGTCTTCCGCCACACCAACCCATGGCGCAAAATATCTGGAGTAAAAGTCAAATGCTTGGGTCTGCCCACCAGGCTCTCCTTTAAGGGTGAGAATGAGTCCTTTCACCTTCCCTGTGTTCTCCACTTGCAGAAGACTCTGTGTGTTCACTTGCAGGTTCTCCAGAAATGACCTTGTTCATAAACGAGATGGATTAGGACAAACCTATTCCACAGACTCTGTAAAGCGGGCCAGGGTGTGCCTTGCCCAAACAGATCAGAAGGGGAGGGGAGAGCAAATGGAATATCTTCCTATCCAAGAACAAAACTCTATGGCTGCATAAATCATCAATTGACTGGACACAGCACCACCAGACCAAGCCACAGCTATAAAGCTGGGTGCTTGGCCCTCCCCAAAGTGCTGATGAAGCCAAAAATCTTGCTCACCTGTCGTAAGTATCACTGAGCCGGAGTAGGAGCTTTCGGGTATCTGGAGAATAGCGGATGTCTTGGACCAGGGTGTCACCTATGGCGGTCTGTGGAGACAGATCAAAACCTCCTTAGGAATGTGCCCTGGGTCAAGTCCTTGATTCCCTGTACGACAACGGCCTCTCATGAGTATCTGCAGGGTGCCCGCACACCCATCATCTCCAATCCCCAACCTTTAGTTCAGCTTCGGGGGCTCAAGGTGTAGCCCAAGGAAGGCCAGTTTCCTGGTAACCAAAGGGGCCTTTAAGGGAGTTGAGCTGACCCTCTGAAAGCCAAAGACAGACATTGTTCACAAGGGTTGACACGTGCCTCAGCACACAACTCCTTTAAATGGGTATTTCCCCCAGAGATGAGAAGAAAGACTTAGAGAGGCCCAGAGCCTCACACACACATACACACGCACACGCACATGCACACACACATACCCTTGACCTGGGTCTGGGGAGCCCTGGGGTCAATGGTCAATGCTCTGACTCACTACTATCTACTGTCTTTAGAGATGGGAGCCTCATGCCTACCTCTTAGAGTTGTTGTGGAGATTAAATCAAATAATATATGTAGAGTTTCTGCAGCAGTAACTAGAATATTCTACACAGTAAGGACTTGGATCTGGCAGTTTGATTGGGAGAGGGGAACTAGAGGACTCATCTTAATGCTGCTCTGCTCAGCAAGCAGCTTTCACTCAGATTGTACACTACAGATCAGTAACAACGTTTTCTAAAAAACCATGATTCACCCTTTACCTAAGACTGCACATAATCTTGCTCATTTCCAATAACATTGTTTTGCTTTTTTGCTTGTCTGTTGGCTGAGGGAGATTATGAGGGGACAAAAGCCCCTCTAAGCCATCCTCTGGCACTACCACCGGCTGCCAGTGGAGCAGATAACAATGTTGATGATATAGTAGTTTTCTGGAAGTCAGTAGGTGGCTTCAGGTTTTCTAACTCTCTTTAGGGACTGAGGCATTCCAGGTCCCAAGGCCAAGACTCCCTGCACCTGGGCTGATGCCTGGGCTGTCTGTCTCTATCACTACAGCTGACCAATGCCCCTCTTTCTAGAAATGGGAACTCCTGCAGCCCGATCCTATCTGCTTTCCAGGGCTTTTAGTCTCTCTAAAGGGGCATCCAGCCCTTCTTTGCATGGATTCTGATGTCGAATTAAAAATGTAATTCTCAGGACTTCCGATAAGATGGTGGAATACCAGAAGGAGAAGAGAAGAAGCAAGGGATTGAGAAAGTATTTGAAGAAATAATGACTGAGAACTTCCCTACCCTGGTGAAGGAAATCAACATACAAGCCCAGGAAATGCAGAGAGTTCCAAACAAGTTGAACTCAAACAGGTCCACACCAAGACACATCATAGTTAAAATGGCAAAGGTTAAAGACAAAGAAAGAATCCTAAAAGCAGCAAGAGAAAGACAGCAGGTTACA